ATAATCTTTTAAGATTTAAATATAACTTATTAAAAACTATTAATATTATAGAGCTACTTAAGAGTATAATTATTGTTATAGATATAGAATCTAATAATTTAAATCTTAATTAACTCTTTAATATTAAGAAATACTAACTATAGTTAGAATATTTAAGAAAGATAGTTAAGTATCTTTAAAAAAGAAAGAAGAAATAGAATATATATAATTTTACTATATTAATAGTTATTTTAATAGAGTTATAAATTAAATAAAGTTAATAGAAGCTACTTAAATAACTTATATATAAGATTTTAATTAATTAATTAATTTAATATTATAGATTTATATTATAATTATAAACTCTTTAAGAAAGATAATAATAATTATATTCTTATTATTAGATATTATTATAATATCTTTAAAATATAGATATTATATTTATCTATCTATTTATTTTATTTATTTTTAATATATTTATTAAATATAAGTTAAGTTATATTATTAATATAATATAATTAAAAGAGATATAATAAATATAATATCTATATTTTAAAGATATTATAATAATTTCTAATAATAAGAATATAATTATTATTATAGATTAATTAAGTATAATTCTTTAATTATAAAGACTCTTAAGCTTAATAACTATCTTTAATATAGATTTAAGATTTAAAATTAGTTTTAAACTTTTAAATCTCTTAATTATAATTAAGATCTAGAATTAATTCTAGACTTTTTAACCTCTTAATTATAGTTTAATTAAACTTTTATAGCTAGTTAATAAGTTAATTTATCTAGATATCTATATATATAAGTTTATAAGATTAAATATATAAGTTATCTTTAAAGAATATTATATCTACTTAATAATAAATATAATTAAATTATTATAATAAATAATCTCTTAATAATAAGTAATCTATTTTATAAGTTATAATACTATACTTTAAGATTATTATTAAAAGACTATCTTAAATATATATAAAATAATCTATTCTTTTATTACTCTTTTATATCTCTTATACTTATCTATATTAAGACTCTTAAGTATATTCTTTATTAAGACTTCTAAGCCTCTTCTCTATTAAATAATCTAATATAAAACTAATTTATATATTTAAAACTAAAGAGATATTAATCTTTTTTATTCTTAGAATATTTAATAAGAAGAATAAATAATTCTTTAATAAAATTAAAGAGTTTATCTTTTTTAAGTTTAATTTAAATAAACTATATAAAGCTATTAAAAGAATTAATAATATTAATCTATCTATTTTATTTATTTTTAATATATCTATTAAATATAAGCTAAGTTATATTATTAATATAATATAGTTAAAAGAGATATAATAAATATAATATCTATATTCTAAAGATATTATAATAATATCTAATAATAAGAATATAATTATTATTATAAATTAATTAAATATAGGTCTTTAATTATAAAGATCTTTAAGTCTAATAATTACTAACTATCTTTAATATAGGTTTAAGATTTAGAATTAGTTCTAGACTTTTAAATCTCTTAATTATAATTAAGATTTAAAATTAATTCTAGACTTTTTAATCTCTTAATTATAATTTAGCCTATAGCTAGCTAATAAGTTAATTTATTTAGATATCTATATATATAAGTTTATAAGTCTAAATATATAAGTTATTTAATAATAATAGATATAATTAAATTATTATAATAAATAATTTCTTAGTAATAAGTAATTTATTTTATAAGCTTTAATATAATAATAATATACTTTAAGACTATTATTAAGAGATTATCTTAAATATATATAAAATAGTTTATTCTTCTATTACTCTTTTAAGTCTATCTCTTATACTTATTTATATTAAATCTCTTAAGTATATTCTCTATTAAATAATCTTATTTATATATATATATACTTATATAATATTAATATATATATTTAATATTATTAAAGAGATATTATTCTTTCTTATTTCTATAATATTTAATAAAAAGAATAAATAACTCTTTAATAAAATTAAGAAGTTTATCTTTTCTAAGCTTAATCTAGATAAACTATATAGAGTTATTAAAGAAATTAATAATATTAATAATTATAATCTTTTAAAGTTTAAATATAATTTATTAAAGACTATTAATATTATAAAGCTATTTAAAAGTCTAATTATTCTTAAAGAGATATAATCTAATAATTTAAATCTTAACTATCTTTTTAATATTAAGAAATACTAGCTATAGCTAGAATATCTAAGAAAGATAGTTAAGTATCTTTAAAGAAGAAAGAAGAAATAAGATTAGTATTATACTATATAATAGTTTTATTATATTAATAGTTATTTTAATAGGGTTATAAATTAAATAAAGTTAATAGAAGTTATTTAAATAACTTATATATAAGATTTTAATTAATTAATTAATCTAATATTATAGAATTATATTATAGTTATAAACTTTTTAAGAGAGAATTAATAATATTAATAATTATAATCTTTTAAACTTTAAATATAGTTTATTAAGGATTATTAATATTATAAAGCTATTTAAAAGTCTAATTATTCTTAAAAAGATATAATCTAATAATCTAAATCTTAATTATCTCTTTAATATTAAGAAATATTAATTATAATTAGAATATTTAAGAAAGATAGTTAAATATCTTTAAGAAAGAAAGAAGAAATAGAACTAATAATAGTTTTACTATATTAATAGTTATTTTAATAAGATTATAAATTAAATAAAGTTAATAGAAGCTATTTAAATAACTTCTATATAAGATTCTAATTAATTAATTAATTTAATATTATAGAATTATATTATAATTATAAATTCTTTAAGAGAGATAGATATTATATTTATTATATCTTTTTTAATTATATTATATTAATAATATAACTTAGCTTATATTTAATAAGTGTAATAAGAAATAATAAATAGCTAGATATTATATTAATAATATAACTTAACTTATATTTAATAGATATATTAAAAATAAATAAAATAGATAGATAGATAGATAAATAGATATTATTATTATAAACTCTTTAAGAGAGATATAAATATTATATTTATTATATCTCTTTTAGCTATATTATATTAATAGTATAACTTAGCTTATATCTAATAAGTAGAAGAAATAACTAATAGCTAGATCTATAAAGTATTTATCTAGAAGGTAGATATGATAATTCACCACCTATATACTTTTTACATTTACTACTCTAAACAGGTTAGACTTTAAAATCACAGCGATAGTTTCTCTGATGCTCTGAAAATAGCCCACATATAGTAGAAGAGACTAATATAGTAGTTGGACCAAAGCATGAAGAGGTTGGTCATTCACCATCAGAGCATTACAGAACCTTCTTAACCTAACACACTATTTCAAAGACAAACAGTCCTGCAATGGTGTATATCAAGCCTCCCCTCAATAGGGAGTTTATTATGCCCTAAGATTTCTCTCGTCTCCTCTCCTGTAGCTTTCTGGTCTGATGGCTGCTTCTCAGAAATGAGTCATACCGCGATGTGGCATCAAGCGGTGCAACAATCATTTCTACCCATTCAACAGTATTGATAACGAGACCTAGCGGGGGGTGAGAGAGAGGAGAAGCAGACGTCAGAGCCATACAAATAATAGACAAAAGGGCGAGGAGGGTCAAGCCAGTCTTAGGACTCTTGCAGGCCGCAAGGGTATCACCACGCCCCTCATGAGGTATTCCAGGCTTCGCGCTCTTGGAATTGTGAATTGGCTGAGTCGTGAATCTGAAAAAGAAAAGAATTGTCCGAGTTGTTGACTGTGTAGGCTCAACTCGACCCTGACCAGCTCACTCGGGCGGAGCAAGACGTTGAATTGGACAATCTCGTCCTTCCTAAAGAGCAGTGGCAGTTGGTCCAATCCATGGTTGAGACACACGCGTGAAGCATCCGGACCCGCCAATGATGCACAGATCGGCATGGACTTGGTACGTGGGGAGGTTGACTTGATTTGCGTCCACAAAATCCGACTTGAAGTTGCTGGCTCATATAGGAAGAGGGTATATTATTCTACCGCACGGGGCTGCCGGGGTGAGAAAGTCTACAGAGGGTAAGTGCATGTCTATCATTTAACTTCTGATGACGATAATAAAGTTTGATGAGTAGCTATCGCAGGATACGTTGTCGCCCACAAAAGCTCACATGCCCCATTTCTTGCGGTGAGAGGCACGACATTATTTTAGGGGTGGCTTTCTGAAGGATGGAGATGCGGGTACCCCTGGCAATAGGTGGACGATGTTGGCGAGGCTGACATCTCCCTCCGGACGCGTGATGGAAGCTGGCCCCCCTGTCACTTTTCGAAAGATTGATCGCAGCTGCAAAAGGAGGTCCAGAGAAATAAATAGCCCATTTACTGCGTCAACTGAAGCACATAAGGACTTATGGCCACCTCGAGGTGCCAGTAGTGCCATAGCATTACTATACATCCTCGAGCACTACTCCAGCATCCCCTCCGTGAGTACAACACGGGTTCAGTAATCGACATTGCGTTCCGGCCGTGACTGAACCCGATCCTCCTACCTCACCTGCAACCTGGACGAGAAATGGACAAGAAAAATACCCAGACGTAACTTCGAAGAATTGATGTCGACGCGAACTGGGAGAAGAACAAGCCGCGATGCTAGAGTACAAGGAGCCCGGGTGAATATCATGCACTGACCTCGCAAACATTGCAAGTGGAACGGCCGCCGAACCAATAACACCCTCCAGATGGTTCTTACTCTGCCTAGTTTCACCAGGACATGCGAGGAGTCAGTCCACAGATCTGCCAGCAACTCGGAGCATTCCGAAATTGGGGCCAAGGCCTCGATATAGTTCAACGAGGACCTCCCGGAAAGGCATGTGCAGACGAGAACAGGACGGCAAGGCGTGACCTGAAGAGAGCGATGACTTATATACCGACGTGCGGGCTCGTTTCATCAAGTTAACAATAACCCCTGGATTCCTGAAACTGATACTGATGTGGTTCTCACAAATTCGAACCTCATATAATAAATCAGTTTGCCTCAAAATCTGTAAAAGAGCTAAAAAATGAAGGATTGTTGCAGGTTGGATCAATAAAGCCAAGCATAATATCCGACAAAACTCCATCTTGACCACCGGCAGGCGTTGTTGACAAGGAGATGTCAGCTGACATTTGAAACTCTGGAGCAACTTGGGCATCAGACGTATTATTTCCGTCGCCTAAGCCACTAGCTGGCGAGTTTGTACTCAACTTCTCGATGGCACGCTTCATGTGCTCCACGGCACATAGACGGACACGCTCGTACTCGAGGCCTGCTAGCTTCCATGTGCGTTTACTACTCCGCAGGCACCCAAGGATCAATGTGACGCGATTGTAGTGATGTTCCAGGCAATCTTCGGGGTGAGCCTTTGTGGTCGCCACCTGCAGCATGCCACACAATGCCATTGCGGAAAACAGAAAAGGGCTGTGCTTCAGAGTGTTTGGACAGACGGAAATGAAGTCGGAAAGTCTGCGAGACGCCTCAATGGCCTTTATACTGTGTATCAGGAGCCTCGATGGTGATGCGTGATAGCGTGGCATACGAGGCCAAAGGTGGTCGTCAGGTAGAGGCAGGAGTGGCGACAGGTCGCTCCTGGGCAGATGCAGAAGCATGGCGCTATAGGCAGTGATTGTGTGTGCCTGGAACATCATCTCGTCGACATTGCCCAACACGTCGATGAATTCCATCTTGCTCTGGGGCAGGTGGTTAACCCAGCTCACCAGCGCATTCTCCACAGCCTGGAGCTGATCTCGATGCGGATCCTTGAGGCGATTGAGAATGAGCACCTGGCACATGATAGTCGCCGCCTCGATCCGGTAGCTAAAAGAGGAGAAGACGGTTTCCTCCGCAGCAAAGACACGGTGCTTGAAGTCGAGAAGTCTGTGCGGCGACCCCAGGTTTCCATCGTCAATCCCATACCTTGACTCCTCACACGGCAGCCCGGCTTCAGAGACCACCTTGCTGCATCGAAGAACTCTGTCCCGCTGCGGGATGGCCATGATAATATCCGTGACGTAGAGTTCCCACCAGGTCCGCCTCATACTCTCAGCCTCTGTTGGTGTTTGTGGCTGTGCTGAAGTAGCAAACGCCCATCGATTCATCCCAAGGTCTAGAGCAAGGTCCAAACTCTTATCAAAAGCGTCGCGAGCTTCTGACCATTCGCCCCGAGCATACAGAGCAATGGAAAAGAGCAACCAGGCCTGTACTAGACACGGGGTGCGGTCCACGTCGGGAGTCAGGGCTGTGACGACCCGCTCCTTCAGCCGTTGGCTACTGACGTTGGCAGACGGGGTGTAATGCGAGCCGATGAAGTGGATGACCAGCTGAAGGAAGATGGGGTATCTTCTGCCATGATAACGAGAACTAGGCACAAGTATGGGATGTGCGATGTGGAAATGCTCGTAAAATAGGCGCAATAAACGATCATCGTCATCCCGCCATTTCCCGGGGACAGACGGCCCAGCAGAACCACAGAGACTCATCTCATCCGGGGCGGCAAGATCGCCGGCCGACGAGGCCATGTCTTCGCCGGCAACGCCGAGGGGGAGCCCAGGACTGCTCACGAGTGCCTGTAGATGTCCAGGATCAGCTGCCGAAGATGATGGCTGGCCCGGCTTGGGAGAATGGGCATGGGCATGCACTTACAAAGTCATCGACGCTGGGTGGGCGGTGAGGTGTTGCTGGCTTTCTACGACCACCTCGCCTTGAGGGGATATATTGGCATTTCATACCATTGTGCGCGCAACGCGAGCAGGTTGGCCGCCCGTCGCACTTGAGATGCTGGCTGCGGCATTGCGTGCAGGCAAGCGGCGCCAAGCCCGTGTCTTTGGAAGCCCTGGTGGTTCCCATCGTCTCGACTAATGAATCGACCTTGCTTGAATCGGCGAGCGACCCGACGCGTGGGTTCCTCCGTGGTTTTCTGTCGTGGTGAAAGCCTGCCAAAGGGATGGCGCCGCTCGGCGACTGAACCCATGGACAGTGCAACCAAGGTGGAGCGCGGCATGAGTCAGTCGCCGAACCGGATCGCCCAGTGCCTCGCCCACCCCGCCACGAGCCAAACTGACAGCGACAGCTCCCATCAAGCAGCTGGGAAGTCAATTACGTCGCGAGAATGGGCCACTTGCCGTCGAGCACGATTGCGAAGACAGCAACAACGGGCTCTTCCTAGTCTTCGATGTTTAGGCGGAGACCATCTAGCAGTTCTTGCGCGCTGCTGGGACTGGGCGGGACATGCTTTCGGTCAGGGCAGGAAAGCAAAAGGACACCCGGTGGCACGCTGCCAAAAGAAGCACACAGAAAATAGATCGGTTCACAGGTGACATGCTACGGTTATTCGTGGCATTAAAGCGTGAACGATGCTGAGGCCGCCCGACCGCTATTAAATCGAGACACCCGTCGTGTTCATGCCAGTATGTGGAATCTTTTATTAATTAAATCAAGGTCCGCGATTGCCAATGCGGGATGAATCCAAGACAGAACCTAGTCGCAAGCCATGACTGATCTCTGGGCCCTTGCCCCCATGTGACATGCGTGGTTATTGAGGCACTCCGCCATGAGATGAGTGACTGCAGCAAAGAGAAGAGATTAGCTTCCTCATCATTCAGGAGTGAAAGGAGTAGGATTGTCCCAACTTACCCGGCCAGACGGCTGCTTTTCCCAGCATATGGGCAGTGACGCGCAGAATCTTGGCAGCGAAACCCACATGCTCCCCTGGCTGCATTGGTGCACTCATCTCAGACGTCCCGCTCATCAGCTCCATGGTCATCTTCATCTCGGCGGCGCCCAAGACCTCCTCGACCTTGCCGAGAAGCTTGACATCCTCCTCCTCAAGCAGCATAATGGCGGGCACCTGGGTCAAGTCGACGTTATCCTGCCCTAATATCCCCAGATACCGCCCCACCCTGTCCTGCAAGGTAGCTATCCACTCAGCGAGCACCTGGGCGCAATCAAAAGCGCACATGGCCGACTGCAGAGGGAGTTCGCGGCTGGTGAAGTCCGCAAAGGTCACGCCCAACTTGTCAGACATGGACAAGGAATCGGCCGCGTAGAAGGCAGCCTTTCGGAGATGCTTTTCACGCCGTGACGTTGATCGAGTCGAGGACTGTGCCTGGGGGGCCTGGTGCTGGGGACGTGTTCCGTTGGGCGTCATGGACAATGCTGGAGGCGATGTCTGTTGATGTTTCGGCGAGTCTACGAAGGCTGAGTTTGTGTGCGGATCATCCGACGGCTCAGCAAGGGCCGATTCTGTATTGGAAGAGGGCGAATGCTCGGCGTGCTGGACGATCTCGGCGCCCCGTGACAGCTCCTCCGCTAGCCCGTCCCAGTCCCGCTGCCAAAACTTCTCTTTTGAACGCGCGAGATTGACGAACAGCCGCACATAAGCGAGGTCCAGAAGAGGGATTGCGTCTGCAGAGAGCGGCCCTTGACCATGCGGATTGGGCCGCTCCAAGCTGTGATGCGGGTTACTCGCCCAGGCTGACTGCCAGGCCTTGAGAGCCGGCTCTATGTGTCTGTGCATCTTCTCCGTCTCCTCGTTTGTCCAAACCTTGTTGTGGTGTCTTTGTCGCGTTTCCCATATGTAATTGTGCAACGCGTTTATCAAAATCAAGCAGCCAAATGTGCTTGGTTTCAACTCGCTCCCCGGAATGTCGGCTAGGTTTACTGCAGAACCAAATGGCTGGTGTGGGGTGTTATTGAAGGCCATCCTCTGCTGCTTCTCCTTGGTCCTCAGCAAGTCCCCAAGGGCATCGTGGAATGTCACTCGCTTGCGATTTGCGGCAGCAACTCCGCCTTTGGCCGCAAAGACCGAACTGTTCTCCGCCGCAAAGAACTCCTCGTCACACGGCAGATCAAGTAATATTTCCGAGTTTGTTAGGGCCGGAGTGTGGTTGTACGCCGTGACTAGAAGACTCGACAAGATGAAGACTGCATAGAGTGTCCGTTTACGCTCCTCTGCTGTCTTCCACGCCAGCCACTGAGCATGCTCGCTCCCCTCCACCCTGGCTTCGCCGAGCCATGGCGTGTCGGTGCCGTCCATATTCACATCCTGCGCTTCATGGTCAGCGGATTGCGTCGGTCGAAAGAGTTCGGCGCCCTGCGCCAGGCTAACCAGGGCTGCACAGTGTGTCGAGGCAATCTCGCCAGCACGCTTGTCGGCGCAGTTGTGGCCGTAGACGACATTCAACAGCATAGCCTGGACGAGCCAGACTGGGGTGTCGATGGGGTTGTCTGGGGACTGGGAAGGGTGTTGCTGCTGTTCAGACAAGGGGCTTCTCTTGAAGTCGGCTTTCCTCACGTTGGCCTTGCGCCTCTCGTCGAGGTAGATCTGTATCATCTTCTTGGCCATGCTGAACAGGTTCCGCGACTGGTCGTGTTCCATCTCGTACAAGGCTCCGATGGCAGCCATAGAGAGGATTAGGCAGCCACAGCCACCAAGAGACCCGTTTCGGGGACCACTGGGAAACGTAGACGTCTGGACGTCAAAGGACAGGGTGGGGACATGAAGGAATGGCAGATGAGGATGGAAATAGCGCAAGTAAGCCCCGACGTACCGCTGCAGATCTTGTGTGCTAGGGATGGCATTCTCGGGAACGCCATTATTGGCGGCCGAGGACTGACCATGTGGCGAGACGGGAGCATTGGGGCTGCTGAAAGAATACTTGCGTCCACCGAGCGGGGAGGCGTGGGCGGCCGAGGATGTCAGCGCGCCTACGATGGCATTTCTCGTCGCATCAGTAATTGTCGAAATAGGCGAGGTGCCATGATTACTACCATTCATCGAAGAGGGCGTCTCGGGAGCGGCTCCCATGTTCAGGGTGTGGCCGAGGTTCTGGGCGTTGACGCCGGATACGATGGACGGGCTGAGCGAGCTCAGCGACGGCGGTGGGGTAGAAAAGTAGGCATCGCCAACATTGTTCTGGGCCGGGGGCTGGGGTGAGACGGGAGCGCCGTTCATGAGGTCTGGGAAGACGGAGCCAGCGCCAAGATCCAAGGCAAATGGAGTGGTGAGTTGCGGCGGTGCCATAAGCCCGGGATGCCAGATCGAAGTAGTCATAGCCCCCGAAACGGCAGCGGGATGATTGGACCCGTCGACCATTACATCACTGATCCCGCTCTGGCTAGTCGTGCTGATAGCCGAGGGCGAGGAGCCATCTATCGCATTGTCGTGTAGTGCTGCACCGGCAGGGTTGGAGCTGTTGGAGTTGAAGCCGAGATGGTTGTGCTCATTGGCGGCCCCGCTGACACCTCCGCCCTCGTTGTTGAAGGACATTTGGTGCTCAAAACCCGTCAGCCAGTCGAAACTATCATCTATTGGCTGGTTCGCTGTTATGTCATGCAGACTGTGGGAAAAAGGTGATGTAGGGTCCATCGCCATGGACTGCGGCGAATCATTGTAATGCAAAGCATTGGGATTGATGGTCGGGCCGGGGCCAAAGAGGATGCCCTCAAAATCGAAATCCGAGTTGAACGGCGGCATGATGGGGGCGGTCCGTAGACCGGTCGAGAAGTCCATGGTGTTTATCGAGTGTGTTTCGAGCTTCGGCAAACCATGAGGCACGCCCCGGTGGCCCAATGCGGCGGCCATGCCGCCGAAACCGTGGTCCACATTGTGAAGCGGTAAGCCGGCGAGACTGGGGTGACGACTGTGGATAGGCGGTGCACCCCTGGCTACGGACGCAGTAGCTGCAGCCATCATCTGCATGGCAGCGCCGTCAACATGGCTGATTGTGTTGGCGCGGGGGCGCATAGAGTTGCCAGCGCCCGGACCAGCGCCGCTCGCGCCGACAGCTCCAATGACGCTGTTTTTGCGAGCTCGACTCTGGCCGGGAGCGGCACTGCTTGTGCTTTCGCGACGGTTGCGCGGCCGGGAAGAAGGGGTTGTTGTCTGGTGCAGTTTTTGCTGGTGGCGCAGCAAGAGGTCGCGGCGGGCAAAACAACGTGTGCACTCGGGGCACTCGAACGGCTTCTCCTTGGTATGCGATCTCTCATGGCGTTTCAGATGCTCCAGGCGTGCGAAGGAGCGCTGGCAAGTCTGACAGACATGGGGCCGAGGCTTGTCGGTCTTGGGCGGCGGAAAGGTCTTTGTGTTGACGGTGATTGTCGACGCTGTTTCCTCGGGCGAGATTGGTCAATACTTGTGAGCACCCAGTGGAACCCAGACGCCTTGGAACATACCGCTATCATCAGTGTTGCTCACGGTGCTTGCTGGAGCCACGGCCGAGGGCGGCGAGTCGGTAGTCATGACGGGATGAATATCCTAATCCAAACCAACCTGCCAGCCAATTAGCGCATGTCCACGGATGCATGTCGGGGAGCAGGTAGGACAGGACGACCTGTTGCGAAGGCGGATTGGGAATACCTAGACAAACAATTGCTGGGAGAAACCTAGAAAACCGAGACCAGTCGGAAGAAGGACAGGGTCGGGAAGGGAGCTGACGGCGCAGGCCGACCGAGGGCCAAAGGCGAACAAGGCTGGCTCTGTGAGATATATATCTGCGCACTGGGCGAGATGGAGGACTGGTAGCTGAGCAACAGGCGAATGACAAGGCGCGCGGCCTGCCAAGAGCGGACGAGGCTTTGAGGGCCGAGGGCGGCGCAGAGGTAGACGACCTGGTGATACGAACCAGCTGTCAAATGGGAGGTTGAGGACGAGAAAGAGCGGCAGTGGTGATGGCAGTTGACTGTCCGTCACATACCAACAGAAGGGCGGGCGAGGCGGGCGCTGCTGGCTGCTGGCTGCTGGCTGCTGGCTGCTGGGTCCCCTTTCTGTCCAAACAATGTCGTGTGGCCTCGGGTTTTGGTCGACGAGGATGAGTCTTGTGCGCCTTTCTCCCACTCTTCTCGGCGCCCTTCTGGAAGCCGGGAGATATTTTTCAGAGGCACAGGCTGGATCGAATTGAAGCAATTGGAGTGCTGGCGCTGCAGATCGGAAGAAGTGGCAGTCGGGAATGGTGCCAGTTGCGTGGAGAGGGAGGGGAGGGGGGGGACAATGTTCACCACCCACAGGCTCCTCCTGTGTACTTGCCTAGAGTACTGCCGCTCCTGTCCAAAGTACCTCAAACTATTGAGGCAACGACCTACGGTAACTAGAGGTAGGTATGTAGGTTGAGTACCCTACCTGCCTGGACCAACTTCTGCCGACGTCGCACATGTGACTACCAGTTGCTTCACTACAGAGTGCTCCAGTATTTTCACTTGGTATTTTAGGTAGCCTGCGCCTGCTTGCGCCTGCTCTACTCCGTATGTGTCTACGTACAGTGGGCATCTTCTGGTTTTGGCAGGTACGAAGAACTCTGGAAGATAGGTAGTCAGAGGTACCGCATGCCCCCGTTAGCGGGACAATTGGAACCTGGTGGTGGAAGTGGAGTGTCCACTCTCCCGAGATCCCCAGCCCTCGCTCTGGGCCAGCGGGCCAGAAGAGAAGAGGTTTGTGAGAGGGAAATGGGAAAAGGGAGACCCCAAGCCCACGAGGCTTCTGACAGGCCTCTTTAACATCGTATCAGCGGCGTTTTGAATAACTACAAGTACCTTACCTGCCTAACTACAAGTACTCCCTCCTTCCGTACCGTCCAATCTTGGATTGAGGTGACGGGGAGGGTGGGGTTGGGGGAAGGGGCGTCGTCCCCATGCCCATCGCGTTACCAGCCTGGGTATGTACCCATCCATCAGGAAAAGACACGCAGGATAGTGTAGTGCACGGGGAGAGGCGGCGTTGCGCATAGCGCAGGCCGAGTGAGAGAGCTACAGTGCGAGGTTCACCACGCACTCGCAATATGAATAGACTGGCAAAGACTGGCAATAGGTATCCATCATCAATCCTCCCCATCCTTGGCCCGCTTGACTACCTAGCTTCCCTCCCCTCTCCATCCTTGATCTGGCAAGGCGCCTTGGCATCAAAGCACCCGTGCTCCCTCGCTTTCGTTGGGGCTTGGCCATGCCACTGGCCACTGGGTGAAGCCCGCCCTGAGTGGTGCCATGGCCCCACAGATAATGACCCATGGGGCAGCACGCTTCATCTTGGACAGGGGGGCCCTGCAAGCCGCTAAAACGAAAGGAAACAAGGGGTCCCTCCCACCAACCGCTCGCTCGCTGGGGTGCGTCTTGGAGCACCAAGCCAAGGTACTCCAGTCACGTACAGCATCCGTTTTGGAGAAAGGGAATTTCATCCCCATGTCATGCCCGAGGTGTGCTTGCGAAAGTGCGTGCTGTTGTGTTTATCGTCAAAGTGAGGATTCTCGTCAATGCCTCGAGTCCAAGGTCCGGGAAGGGGAAAGGGCTGCGAGACAGCAGCGATGGGCAGCCTCTCTGAAGATTGATGTCCCTCACGGCACTCTGTCACATTGCTGCGGAGGGCTCTATACCGTGGAGACTATAGCCTGCCTTGCTGGGAAGACAGTGTGGACTTGGGCGTTGCATTCTTCAGGCCAGCGAATTGTCATGTTAGTCTACTTCGTAGGAGAGGCCTCGGTCCTGACTTGGGCTCAACGGCAGTGTTGCGAGCCGCACAAATCATACCGTGCTCCGACGCCAGACCGGCTCAGTGCTGGCGAAATGCCTCGTGGGCCTGACAGCCCACAGTCCTGATATCCAAAGAGCCAAGTTGACTTTACATTCGTGGACCTTGTGCAGACGCACACAGGCCTCTGAAGTGCAGGCGAGGTGCGGCGCCGCCGTCACCGAGGTGGCGTGGCATCTCCAAGTACCTAGATGTGGTGCAGCACTGTGCAGTACCAAGTAAGGTAGCTAGGTAGGTATCCTTCTTCTCCCCACACACACACTCACACCCACACGCGTGCGCGCAGCCAATGAACAAGACTCAAGTGCAACTCACACAGACCAGCAGTTCAGATGCATGGAATCTGTTTTGTGTCCCCCGAACGGGACCCGCTCCAGTGCCCATGTATGGACGTGCATGATAGGACTACTTGTAGGTAGGTAGGTACGGAAAACGCATTTGAAGTAAGATGTACTTAATTACCTACCTACCTCCGTACCTTTCCAATCCTCCACCCATCCGATATGTCCGTCTCGTCTCCGTCTCGTCATCCCGCCTTCTTTTTCTTCTTGATCTTGGTGGGCATCAAATATCATGCCGAACTCGATGCTCAATCCATGGATGCAAGGCATCAATGTCGCTCTCGAGCCCGCCCATCTGAGCCCTGTCCTATCGCGCCTATCTGATCGCCCAGGGCCCTGCTAGAGAGGATAGAAAGGCACAGTTTCCACCGCCTAAACGGCAGACGAGGCCAATTAATATCAACGTCTCTGCCTACTTCGTACCTACCTACTGGCTTACCAAGTAGCGTGTCCCGGCCGTCCGTGTCTCCAGTATCGAAGCTTAGGCCGAGGGCACGCACCTACATAGGCATCTTCGCCCCACGAATCTTGTCCCTAAGATCCTGGTCTCCAGTTATTCCCGTATTCTCTTTGGGGGGGCCACGGGGACATCACGAGCCACCTTAGCGCCTTTATGGGGACCAAGCTAAGGTGCTGCAACGCCGAATTAGAGTTTCCGTTATTGGTCGCCGTGGTCGGCATGGGGTTTCGGGGGGCGCTCGGGGTGACAGGGGCTTCGTCCATACTGTGCGAGGGTTTGGGCAATTTGGCAGAGAGCGAGAGAAGCGTCAAAGAAAGGCCAAGCAAGAACCGGGGTGTGAGTTGGGGAGGGCTGTAGTTAGTTAGAGTCTGTAGTTACTTGTACTTGTAGACTGCATCATTGGCCCTTGATTACGGGCTTATCCCCGCGAGCCCCGGCATCTTAGCAGCTTCATGTAACTACCTACTAGAGACATCCAGCCACCGGTCCAGTCAGTCAACCACCTTTACCCCAAAGTGTGCCCATGGACGGAGAAGTTGGGGAATTATTTTGGAAGAGCATTTCGCTCTTCGCGAAGCCATGGAGCAGATAACGACGGCGGGTGTTGCGGTTGGCATTGCTCAAAATCCTCCGCATCTCTCCCAGAACCTTCCCTACGAGGGGGAGTGATTAAGGAGGACACAGGGCTGCATATACAAACTTCACCTCGGTAGGTAGTCCAGCAAGAAGGTCCGCCGCGACGAAGAGAGTCTGCACTGTCCTCTAATCCGAGGCCAGGCTGTGTGTAGCCTTGATTAGCCGGCTCTGAAGCCAACAAAATCGAGCTTCTCCGGGTCGGAAAAGCAAACCAACCCGAACGTCGTATGGCCACATTACATCACCACGCAGGAATGTCCATGACGAGGCTCTCGGTCGTGCTGCGCGCTGACAATGGCAATAAGGTATGGAGAAGCCATGATCCGTCCAAGTCCGTCCTTTCCGATTTGGTCCTTTTACTCACATTCAGGTTGGAAAAGCTTCAACCTCGTCGTCCGATGCTAGAGCCCGAAGGGACCTACTTGTAGTTAACTACTCGTACACTTGAATTACCTAGGCATGTACTCCATACTTGCCTACATACATGCACGACCAAGGCCGACATCGACACGGGCTCCAGGATCGACACAATTTCTCCCACAAATAGCGCCAATTTGCCAAAGCCCCAGGCCTGTAACAGGAACGCTGGGTGGTACAGTGCATGGTTTAGTACCTCAGGTACACAATGTACCCAGCTTCCCGAGCACGACGCCCACGCCAGCTTCGTACAAGGGGGCTCGTTCCTGAGACATTCCAGGGCACTTCACAGCGTGGCGTAGCTTCGCGCGCGGACAGGACGGGCCAGATGCTAGAAGGCATACTGGATACCAAGTCAATCGCGAGTGGGCGGCCATTCTGGACACGGCTGGCTCATCCCTCGGTAATAGGTTGATGCTCGCGCATCAACGGTGCATGTAAATCCGGATGCCAACAGGCAGGTGTGCATTGCATGTGGCTCTGCAGCCAGATGAGGGACAGAAACCGTTAATCTGCGACGCGCGGGGACTGGGTCCACTTCCGGCTTAGCGTTCTGCATCGAGGGAGGTAGGTACCTTATCGAGGGAGGTAAGGTACCTACCTCCAGCCCTTGGGTACCTTCCTTAGGTACTACCTAACTACTTGTACCGTCGGCTCCGTAAGTACCTTAGGTAGGTACTCCGTAACGTACATTACCACATCGCCTAGCCACGCTAGCATTTTGATGTGCGGAGTACGCTCGCTCGAGCCACACAGTGCGCGACTCCAAAGTCCCCAACGGCAAGGTCTCTCCACCCATCCACGAACCCATCCCCCATCTGTTCAACGCTCCGGAGTAATGATTGAATGTGTAGTGGCCTGAATGGACCTGG